ATCGGCCCCCTAGTGAAGCCTGAGCTTCATCATCATCATCAATCACCAGGAGGTGAATGAAAGCCTGGTTTTGTTTGAATTGTGATGAATTTTGAATTTGTGAAGCCCATCGTCGGCCTAGGAGCCTTTGGGAGACTTCATCATATCATCATTCACCACAGGTGAAGCCCATCGGCCCCAAGAATGGCCCAAGCAGAAGGCCGTGCGTGGCGAAGAGGCCCTCCCCGCGACGGGGACGAGGAGAGCAGAGTGCCCCCGGCCGAAGAAGCCAAAGCGCGCCAGGGCCTTCCCGTCAGGAACCCAAGCCCCTCGAAGCAGCCAAGCAGAAAGGCCGCGGCGAAGAAGCAGGCCATAGGAGTCGTTATCCTTCACTATCATCGTCATCACCAAAAAAGAAGCCGTCGGCCAAGCCTGCGAAGTCATCATCATCATCATCACCAGAGGTGAAGCCATCGGCCTAGGAGCCCCTCCCCCGCGACGGGGACGAGGAGGCCAGAGTGCCACCGGCGAAGAAGCAGCGCCAGGAGCCTTCCCGTCAGGACCCAGCCCCTCGAGCAGCCCAAGCAGTAAGGCCGGGCGAAGAGGCCCCTCCCCCTCGACGGGGACGAGGAGGGCCAGAGTGCACCGGCGAAGAAGCAGCGCCAGGAGCCTTCCCGTCAGGAACCCGAGCCCCTCGAGCAGCCCAAGCAGAAGGCCGTGGCGAAGAGGCCCCTCCCCCTCGACGGGGACGAGGAGGCCAGAGTGCCACCGGCGAAGAAACAGTGCCAGTTGCCGCAGGCCAAGGAGTCATCGTCATCATCATCATCATCGTCATCATCACTACATATAATAGAGCCATAGATCAAGGAGATGATCGAGGCGTTATTTTCACTATCATTATCGTCATCATCACCAGAGGTGAAGCCATCGGCCTAGGAGCCTGAGAATTCATCATCATCATCACCAGAGGTGAAGCCATCGGCCTAGGAGCCTGAGACTTCATCATCATCATCATCACCAGAGGTGAAGCCATCGGCCTAGGAGCCTGAGACTTCATCATCATCATCATCACCAGAGGTGAAGCCATCGGCCTAGGAGCCTGAGACTTCATCATCATCATCATCATCATCATCACCACAGGTGAAGCCATCGAGGAGCCTGAGACTTCATCATCATCATCACCAGAGGTGAAGCCATCGGCCTAGGAGCCTGAGACTTCATCATCATCATCATCATCACCACAGGTGAAGCCATCGGCCTAGGAGCCTGAGACTTCATCATCATCATCATCATCATCATCACCAGAGGTGA